CTGCACTGTATACTTTAAAAGGGTGAAATTTATGGTTTGTAAATTTTATCATAATTTTAAAAATATTCAGGGTTTGGATCACTGTATATGGATACTTCCTACATACAACAGATAGTAAATAAAATGAGCTAATAGTTCACAATTGAATTATCCCCAAAACAATGGGAAAGTGTAGGAGTAGCTTAAAAATATTTGCAAGTAAGAAGAGTACAAGATAATTTGGAAAGCAGTGATCATAAGGTTTTAACTGGAAACTACAAAAAAATAACATTCATATCTACCCAATATCCAGACTCCATATGGCAGGTAAGGAGATATAAATAAGAGCCAATAGAGAAGTTCAGAGACACATCAAAACAAATCAAGCCCCATTTACTGGACTTTTAGGACCAGTTGGCAAACCAGGAAAGAAAACCAATCTCATTATTTTATATATACCTTTATTTGTCACAGAAAATACTTTTCAACTGTTTCTAAATACCAAATCCAACCTCTAAGGATGGAAATGTGTTAATACTAAGGATATTCAAAGAATTAATATGTAACTGATTTTAGGAAATCCCAAAAATAGGTTTTGTACAATGGAATAATGTACAGTCTCCAAATGAGCTTACTTAGAAGAGACACTCTTGTGGATGACAATATTGTCCCTGTAAAAGCGTTTTTAAAAAACAACCCATGTCACTGCTATAGACTTCCACAATAGAATCCTTAAATAAAGGAAACATTCCTTCTCTGAGCTAAGGAGCAAGATGTACTGCAAACTGCAAATTGCCTAACCAAAGACACTCCATTTTTTAACTTGCATTAGAAAATCCTACAGCCTACTTTTGCAAACATATTCCCTATATATGTCCCCTACATGAATCATGGATTGTAGTTTAAATAGACATTCTTGTCCTTTTCCACTTCTGTTTATTTGTTTTTCATGACAGGAATACCTCTTCCATATTCATCGAATGAAGCAAAAACGTGCCACATTCTGCTTGAAGCCTTCCTTCATTATCAGAAGACATTTCTTTCATTTCTAAACACCCCTAGCATTTGCTTGTACCATGGTAAGGTGCATTTTTGTCCCGTACTACAACTGAATACACTATATTTTCTCTAAGGACTAAAAAGTTCCTGAAGGTTATTAGAACAACTTCCCCAATATCTCTGCTTGCCCACAGTAACTGGTAAAAAGCAGATGCTTAATAAATACTTAACTGAAGTACTTACTTAACTGTCTTTCCTTCCTAAAAATAACACTACTAAACAATCACTTGCCCAACTAAGTGATTAGGCAAGTACTCAGAAATGGCAAATCCCCATGGACACTGAACACTTAATTCTCACTTTGTAAAAAAAATTCAGGTCATCCTGTGTAGTCCCATAAGACTAAAAAGGGGGAGGGGGCGGCACTATTCAGATGCTTCCTAGAACTGCTCCAGCTATAAGCACATCAAAGGGAATTAGACCAATTTGAAAAAATAACTGTGTAAGTCAAAGAGATTCATCCTGCTATCCTTCAGCTAAGCTAGAGCTAAGCTGAAATTACTTTTCCCTAATTGAGAAGAGCTTCTTGAGAATACAGCAAGAATGAGGAGCAACCAAGCAATAGGTTACATCACACCAGACAGCATAGAGAGCCTGAATCTCAACTGATCATCCTTGTTCCAGAGGATGCCTCAATAATCACCTGGAGACCAAATATTCATCTTGACTGTAATCACTGTCTGAACCTGCTCCCAACTCCAATTCAAATAAAACCTAATAATGGAAACACCAACACCTTCACCTCCACAGTCCAAACCTGTCCTCCTCCCCCTTAAAAAAAATAGAAGGGAGAGTTAAATTTCGGAAACGAGAATTCATTTTTAATCCTACAACTGCTGTAAGATAAAAATAGAAACCAAATGACCCCAAAATGTTAACATAATCAGTCAACAGAATCAAACAGAAGATTAACTGTTCAAAATGAATCCCATTAAAATAAAAGAGAAATTATTACATCATCTGTTAGTGACAAACAATACACACAGTTGTCTTTTGAACTGTAAGGATCACTGCCAGCCCTTTTAAACACAGACAGCTACCAATACAGTTGATTTTCTCGTAACTGTCCTCTTAAATTATATACAGGGTAGGGCAAAAATAGGTTTACAGTTGCTCATGTGGAAAATAATAATATAAGAATAAATGTTTTCATATGAAAATAATATAATAAGTAACAACAAATGCTTTCACATACAACTGTAAACCTACTTTTGCCACACCCTGTATAGTAAAGAGAATATATGAGACCCAAATGATTTTAGTTGGTACACTATCAACTATATAACACTGTTCAGATTAAAATACTGCTCTGCACTCTGGACTCTTAATATCTCCTGAACTTTACAACCTTGAAAATGGACATTTGAAGTTAAAAGTATGCTTTAAAAAAACTGATCACCAGATTAATATCCTCCTTCAAAAATATTCTAAAATTTGACATTGAATTCAGATATTTACAGAAGGATTTATCAGTCACTTTTTAAAAACCCTTGTCAAGCAGCAGTAAACTAACCACTAACACTAGCAATTACTGATAAAAAGGGGGCCTGAGGCAGAAGGCTGGGATTCAAAGCAAACAATTAAAATAAGATAAACAACTCATTAAAACCATCAAAAGGAAAAGCAACAGTAACTTAAGAAATGTACAGGATAATGGTCATTAATTTCAAAATCAGTTAAAAATAAAAAATCCCTACTAAAAGAACCCAATCACTAAAAAGTGAAGCAAATACAAAAACTAAAAATTCTTCAAAATAATTTTAGAATTTTGTATTAACTTACAATTCTGAAAACTCATTAATCTCATTCCTTCTCAAAACCTTGTAAATGCCTTTTATAAGCTCTCTTATATGATGGTTACAAATAATACATAATTCGGAAAGTGCTTAGGCAGATGTAACATTTCTGCAAGCTTATGACAGGTTAGAAAGAATAAAACAAGCGGAGACAGAGCAGAGTAAATGATAACTGATAAACCAAAGGCTGATTCCTGGGGCAGAGCTGGGCTTGGATTGGCAGGAGGGAAATTTTAAAGTATACCCACCAGATGAATTATTATAACAAAAACCTGATTCATGCCTTTAGTATTTACACAAGCATATGTTCTGAAATGTACTTTTAACCTTTGGACAACCAAAGTGATACCAGATACCTCAGAGCATTGTTGCTTATGTATTAATTTTCATGTTATACAGTCCAAATCTTCAACAAAATTCACATACGTTTTCGTAATGGAACTGCAGAGATGGAAAGGCTTATATCCTCTAAGTAAAGGTTACCCTATTTTTGACTTGTTTAAAGTTTCAGTTTTGCTTTATAACCCATTATAGAAATCATCCCTTGTGGGACATTGTAAAGGGCATACCCTCCTGTCAAGCCAGAAAGCTCAAACACAAAGACACTGAGCGAACCAAGTGCTGTAATTCTTCCAAACTGAGCCTCTCCAACACCCCCTCACCCTTCCCCCCAACAGATATGTCTATTAAATCAGTGTCTGTTCTCCCCCTCGCACAACAAAGAGAACTTCTCACCGCATGAAATTGCCGCTGAATGGACACCAGAAAGCAGGATTTGCATAATTCCTCCAACGAAACCCTGTCGGGAAGGAGGGGATGAGGGGCCCAAGCGAACGGATAGAATCTCCTGGATTCTGTCGGGGAAGACCTGGTTCCTAAGAGTACTCCCCACGGGTGGGGTCGGGGCTGGAATTCTGGGCCTCCCCGAGGACTGGGCGTGGGGGACGAAGGACGACGAGAGAGGATTTCCCCACACATGAGCCGCACGGAAGCAAAGACGGGGAAATAACAATACTGAAGGACAGGAGAGTCAGACACAAGGATGCACTGGGACTAGGGAGCGGCGGGCGGAGCGGAGACACCACACGGGCCACTTACTTTTTGGAGGGGGGTTAAATATATGAGTTAAGCCCTTATGGTCCCGCCGGCCGCCGCACAGAGGGAAACGGGACCTTGGGAGAGAAAAACAGACAAAACACACAGTGTGAGAGGCGCAGCTCGGCCGCCCGGCCCCTCCCGGGGCGCCCCGGTCCACACTCCCTCTTGCCCGCGGGGAAAAAGCCAACCCGGGGCGGTCTAAGATCTGGGAGACAAGGGGAGAACGAGGCTCTCGGCGAGGCGGCGGCTCCGGCAAATCCCCCGGGAGGCGAAAAGAGCGACTAGTCTTCTCGGTCGGACCCGGTCCCACCCCTCTTCCTCCCCGCCTAGCACACACCAAACACAAATACACACACCGACCCGAACGTCGAGGATTAACTCCCCCGCCGCCACCACCGCCGCCCGCTGAGGAAATGCAGCCGCTGCCCCCCGCGGCCATGACACCCCACTTGGCTCGGTCAGGCGGACCCCAGGCCTGTGACAGCTCCGGCTCCCTCCGCCCCCATCTCCACCTCACGCCTCGCACGCGCCCGAGTGCCCGCCAGCCCGCCGCGCGTGCACGTGGGACCGGGGGCGCGCGCCGCTGCCGCGCGTGGGGGAAGGGCGACGCGGAATGGGGAAGGCGCCCAAGAGAGCGGAGGATGGGACCGAGCGGCTGCCCAACATGCCTGGCCCCGCGCTGGGCTCTGCGGGACCCGTGGCAGCGCCCACCCGTCAAGTGGCAGCACTGCCGGGCGAGTCTCCACAATAAGCGGGCGGCGGCGCCCAGCAGCCTCAGGAGAGGAGGCGAAAAGGTTGGGGAGACAGGCTCTCCCGCCCGAAAGCCCGCCCCGGGAAGGGTGCGCGGAGGGGAGGGGCCGATGGTGCGCGCGCTCAGGCTCGAGCCCGAGAGCCTGCCCGGAGGTCGCGCGCGCCCGCACTCCGGGGGGTGGGGGAGGGGGACGCCCGAGCCAAAGAGGGCGGGCGGGCCAGAGCAGCAATTGCCTCTGCCCCGGCTCCCTCCCCACGTCCAGGGCGGCCGGCGGCTGAGCGGCCCGATGGCCTGAGGCGGCCGGGAGAGGATCTCACCTACACAGTGAATGAGCTTGTGGCGCCACGAGTCCAGTTCTTGCCGAAAGCCGCGTCTCTCAGCGGAGCATTGCTGCCGCCTACACACCCTCGCCATCTTCTGCCGCCCTCCCGGCCCTGCCTCCGCCGCGGCCCCGCGCACGCCCAGACGCGTCGCCCGGGGCCGCGCACGCACCCGTGGCCTGGGCGTCGCACCTCCCGCCGGGGGCGACGCGGGGGCAAGATCTCTCTCACCTCCGGGTGGCCAGGTCGTGGCCCGGGGGGTCACTGGGGTGCATATTCTCCCCACTCACAGCGCCTCGGCAGCCGGCCAGACTGCGGTCCCCCAATCCTTGGCCGTGGCTGCCGCTTCTTCTGGGCGCCCAGGAAAGTGCCTTCCCACGTCCGCAGCTCAGCCCCTCTGACTCCGCGCTGCCGCCGTCGTCCTGTCCCCCAGGGCCACGGCTGCCCCTTCCTTTCCCTTACCGAGACTTTTTGTTTCTTAAACCAGTCCCATTTGTCACTTCCAACCTGCCTATCGCCAGGCACCAACTGTTGAAAGTTCCGTGGAAACCGATCCTCTGAACTCCGAAACTGCTCCTCCCAGTAGTCTGTTTAAGAAGCAGAATTAAGCCCGATGCCCGTGGAGGCACGAAGCCCTAAAGTTTTAAAAGGTGAACGGATAGATTTTCTTAAGTCGTTGGAAGGGTTAGACAACATTCGTGAATCCAGTTAAAGTTGTAACCAAATCTTAATTTACATAAACAAAAAAATAGGTTTCTGCTAGCAAGACTGATCATAGGTGAAATTCTGAAGTTGACAGATTCAGAACCTCTTCTGTGTTGTGTGGAAGGGGGTTTAAGAAAATTGTGCTAAAGTGAGAAAGATATTCCAAAAGAAGGCTTAATTAACAGTACTTAAAGCCGAGTACTGGAAATAGCTAATTCCGTATTTCAGGAAAGACTGGAAGAGAAGTATTTTTTAAGGGGGTTATCGGGTGGAAACCTAGAATAATTCAATCACCCTGCATACAGACTACCCGTTCCATTCAAACATGCTGCTCTTAATTACTTGAATATTACTTGAAAGTGAAAAGAGAGAAGAAAAAACGAAAGGGGAAAGAAGAAAGGGGGTGGGGTGAGTGGGTGGGGCGCGCGCGCGCCCTTCCCCCACGGGCGGCCTCTTAACCAAATAGGCCCAGTACCCTGGGATGCTAGCCTCTTTCCCCACCTTTGGGGTTTAAGATTAAGGACAGCGTATTCCTGTTTTTACATATGTAAATTTAAATTTGAAGACACTGTAGTAGGTAAAAACAAATTCATTAGGTAAGAATTTGGCATTAGGAATCCCTTTGGTGTACTGATTTTTGTCTTTTCCAAGGTAGTGGTCTTGGTTCTCTGCACCACGCACTTGTGGAATGGTGTGTCTGTTCATAAAGAGATGGACTCATCACTTGCTCTTGTGGCTGGGTTGGTTGGAGCATCATCCTGTACGTCAAAAGGCTGGGGGTTTGCTTCTTGCTCAGAGGGCAGGTACCTAGGTGGCAGGTTCACTCCTAGGTCAGTCCTGTATGGATGGTAGGGTGATAACCCATTGAAGTTTCTCTCTCTTCCCCCTTCCCTTTCCCTCCCTTCCCTCCTTCCTCCCTCCTTTCTTCTCTCTCTAAAACAAATAAACATATTTTTAAACAATCTAAAACAAATAAAAGAGAGATTGACTGAGTGGGCCTCTTTGATAGGGGTGGTCTGAGATTGTATGTATAGAAAAGCACCTTCTGCTCCCCAAATCTTAAAAACCAGTAATTTTCCACAATTCTCGAAAGTCCATGATATTTCATTTGCTTAGGAGTACTGTCGAATGCACAAGCTATTAAGTCATAAGAAATTGAATTTCTATGTACATAAAACTATCCTGAGCAGTGAGGGGAGAGGACAAATATGAGTTAAAAGATTGCTGTGGACTGCCATCCTGCACACGTAATAGCAGGACATCATCAACCTGAACCTTCCCCTCTTCACCGCTAGGTGGTAGACTTGAGTCTTTTGTAGATTTTAACCAAGTTTCTATGATTTTTGGAAGTGCTTCACGAAGTTCGAAACAACACCTAACTATGAAATGAGTTAATTTTAATAATGAATGTATTTTCCAATGACCCCATGTATTTTGTGTAAAAATAATCAAACCAACGATAATACTTCCTCAACACAATCTCTTAGTCTCACAGAGATTAAGAGAATCTTAGAGACCTCAGAGATCAACTCTGATATGAGGTATGGATTCTCTAATTTGAGGTATGGATTTTCTCAAAGTGACTTGACCAAGGTTATGGAGCTGCTCGTAGAGGTAGCACAACAAAAGCCAGAGACACGTTTCCAATTCCCAATTCATTGCCATTTCCACTACTCCACTTTGAATTGCAATTACTGCTTTACTTATTTTAAGTTGGGAATAAACATATAGTCGACCTCTTAAAAAGGTCTATATGGAAGAAAGGATTAGGGGGCAATAATGATAATTATCAGCTATTGAATATTTACTATACCTCATCTATTCAGCATTGCAACTTTATTTCATTGCATCTAAATAAGGATGCCAGAGTGTTATTTTTACCTACATTTTCCATTTTCCAGATTGAAGATTCAAAATTCAGAGAGGTTATGTGCCTTTTTCCAAGATCACAAAGCTACCAAATGGCAGGACCAGAATTAACTGACTCTCAAACTCAGAGTTGTCCTGCAAGTAGAAACAGGACTCTGCATGAAGAGGGTCCATTTGCTTCCATGTGAGAAGTGATGTTCCATCGCACAGCTGAGCAGTGTGACAAACATTTTAAGCTTCTATAGTATGTCAGGCAGTGTCCTAGGCTCTGAGGGCTCAAATTGAAGATGAAATGAACCAGTCGTGCACAGGGGCTGGCACATCGCTAGAATGAGATGAGTGTCAGTCCTTGTAATTAGGCCCACCTAACCTCTCCTTCTTGGCCAGTCTGCAGGAAGCCAAGATGCTTATGCAGGCTGTAGTAAATCCGTGACAGCCTGAAGGGATGACAGCAATGAACATGGCCTGTGAAAACATTGTTTGAGTCATGTGCCACTGTCCTCACAATGGGCAAATGATAAGGAGAGATGGAACACAGAAAAGGACTATTGGAGGTCGAGGTAGACTCTTATCTGTGAACCATAGGGTTGGCCAGTATTACATTCTCCTTGTGTCTGATTAGTTTGAGGTAGCATCTAATAGGAAAATGACCACAGATAAATAGGAGGATGAAGTGGATTGGGGCATTCTAAGAAGGAAAAAGCCTGCTGATGTAAAACTTTTTTAAAAACATAACCATCCCTGACCAGGGTGGCTCGGTTGGGCGTTGTCCTACAAAGCAATGGGTCACTGGTTTGATTCCTGGTTAGGGCACATGCCTGGGTTATGGCTTCTGTTCCCTGCTGAGGCATGCAAGAGGCAACCACTCGATGTTTCTCTCTCAAGAGGCAACCAATCGCTATTTCTCACTCACGCCAATGTTTCTCTCCCTTTCTCTCTCCCTCCCTCCCCCTCTCTCTAAAAATTAATAAAGTCTTTAAAAAATACAACCAACTTCTAATGAAGACCAATAAGTGACAGATACTTTTCAGAGCACTTTTCATAAATTAAGTAATTCATTCCTCACAATTCACTCAATTATCCCCATTGTATAACAGCTCATGAAGAGGTTAAATAATTTACCCAAGGTCACTTGGGTTATAATAGATTTGCATTCAAACCCAGCCAATTTGGAAGCAGACCCAGATCTTTAACCTTCACCCTAGTTTGCCTACTATACTTCTAGGGGAAATGGGACATAGAGTTAGGGACAAGACCTAGGCAAACAGAAAGGAAGCCTTGTCACTTGGTGGAACTACTCAGGTAGCGGCCCTTCATGCTTTAGTGAAAGACTTTAGAATTCCTTTCCTGCCGTTTATCTGCTGGTGTGCCACTGGCTTAGAAACCTTCATAGCTTTACTTTACGTTGTCTGTGAAATTTATTTTTATTTTAAAGTTTAATGAGATATTTCAGATACTATGAAATTCACCCATTAAAGTGTGAAATTCACCCATTAAAGTGTGAATGCACTTAGTGGTTTCTAGTGTATTCACAGAGTTGTGCAACTGTTCCCACAATAACTTAGAGAACATTTTTATCAATCAGCCAGAAAGAAACTCCGTGTTCATCAGTAATCATCCCCCATCTCTTCAACCCCTAAAAACAACTGATCTACTTTCTGTCTGCATGAATTTCTTCATTCGGGACATTTTATATAAGTGAAATTGTACAATTTGTGGTCTTTTGTGACTGGTGACTTTGAAAATACCCTGCTCCTATACAGTGTTTTCAAGTTTTATCTCTATTGTAGCATGTGTCAATGCTTGCTTTTTAATTGCTGGATAATACCTCATCATATGGATGTATAAAATTGTATTTATATATTCCAGTTGATGGATATTTATTGTTTGTACTCTTTGGCTATTATAAATAATGCTGCTTTTTAATATTTGTATATGAGGTTTTGTGTGAACATGCTTTTTCATGGTTTTTAAAAATATGAATGTGTATTGTCTCTATTTTTAAATAACTTCAAATTACAGAAAAGTTGTAAGAATTCCCATATTCCCTTCATTCATTCCCCAGTTGTTAAAATTTCACCGCATCTGCTTTCACTCTCTCTCTGTATGTATTTATGTACAGTTTTTTTTTTTTTTGGTTGTTGAGTCTTTTTATGAACAATGTGTTAGGAGGCTACAGACCACTAAGTTTATTCAGTGTGTGTGTCCACAGAACAAAGGTATTCTCCTTCACAGCCACGATACAGCTCTCCATGTCAGGAAACCAACATCTATACAAAACAGACCCCCATTAAAATTTCACTACCTGTCCCAACAATATCTTTTCCTTTTCTGGCCCAAAATCTTACACAGGAATTAATTGAATTTAATTATTATGTATTAGTTTCCTTGAGTTTGGAATAGTTCCTCACTCCTTTCTTGTTTTCTTTTTGTTTTTGTTTTTGTTTTTTGACATTGACAGTTTTTAAAAGAACAGAGCTTTTTTAAAAACTTTTTTTATTTTAATTGTTGTTCAAGTACAGCTTTCTGTCCTTTACTCCCATG